AGAAACTTTCCACTTTCAGCTGATTAATGTGAAAACATCCTTCTAGTGTCAAACTCTGGACATACAGCATTCAAACAGCACACTGTAGGAACAAGTGGTAGAGTTTGGGTGTTTTATGGAGTGAAAGCGCAAAAAGCAGCTGCTCTGGTGTCTGGTGTGAACATACTGTTGCTCTGAGCTGATAGGAGTTGCCGGGAAAAAAGGACAGTTTAGGATTTGTAGGCGTATGGAAGACCCAAATTTAATATTGACTAAATAACATAAATATTGAAAAAACAGTGTCTGTCTCTAGCAGTCAAGCCCTAATTATTCTGGTGTGGTTACCTTCAGAGTAAATAGATGGACTGAGTCCATGGTCCAGTATTTCCCACAGCTGGTTTAATGACCGCAGTGATTCCTCCGATGACAGTAGAGATCTGGACTGACCTGAGCGGGGCTGTGGCCCATGGTCCAGGGACCTCACAGACTGGCTGAGAGGAGGAGTGTTCTCTTTGTTCTTGGAGTGCTAAAGAAGAAGAGAGTAAATTCATTTTAAGTTGTTTCACTTGAAAGGCCTGGAGTCCTAGAGATAGTTAAACGTGAAATACATTTTCTACATTTCTTTATAAATGTATATATAAAAATATGAATATTTTAAAAGTGACTTTTGCACCAACAGATATGCATTCAATGTGAGGAGTGAACTGGGCAGCTGGGTTGTCAGTGTATCAGTTAATGCAGTATTTAAGACTGGACTGTTACCTCAGGCCTGTCTGCGCTTTCGTGCCCCTGGGACCTAGGATTGGCAGCCCCTTTAGTGGCAGGGCCTAGGTTGTGGGTTCCAGGGAGGACTTGTTCAGCGAGAGTGCAAACCCTCTGCCTCAGAGCGTACTGCAGCTCCTGAAGACACAAACATTAGTGGAGCCACTGTGCCCTCTGCAGGCAGCACAGAGAAATACAGCACTCTTTCTTTGAGGACTTTTTTATTTGTTATCATTTGTGTCTTGTGCTATTAACGTTCTTGTCTGAGTTCCTGCAGAATGGTTATAAGGCAAAGTAATGAGCAAAACAATGAACAAAGAATGCATTTAAATCATTTTCAACATGAATGTCATCAGAAAAATGAAAAGTGTGAGTTGAGGGAAGAAAAGCCATTCCAACAGGCCACCATCAGTAGACTCACACAAATTATGGCACCAAATAGGAGACAACAGTGGCAAAGATTATTCTCACATCCAGCTTGTGTAACAGAGTTAGAAATAATCTCTATTATGAACTTCTACAAAAGTCATATGCTTGTCTCACATTGACATAGTTTTAGAGCCACCTGGTGGGTTAACAATGCGGCTGCATAGACAGGCTTCTTGTCAAGCATGCTTTGCATTAGAAAAGTAATCTGGTTTTAAGAAAATATATCTAACTGTGTCTTAATAAGATATTACAGCTGATATTGAGCTTGATTTAACCAGTAACAAGTTACAAATGGTTTGAATAACATCCCTGCAGATGAACAAGATTATTTTCCTTATTTTCTCCGTTTAAGAGAAAGTAGTCTTGTCCCGGTGTTGTAACTGAAGCATTATTTTAGCTTTTTATTGTTTTGATAAAAAATGCTACAAATGAGAATGCTTCTGGTGTCTTCATGTAAGACTAAGTCACTTATTTGTAAGATTTTTTTTGCTAATTATTAATCTTATGTTAAGGTACACATTCTTAAATTCAGCTCAATAAAATCACCAAGATACTTGTTTTAAGAAAGTCTATCTTAAATAACCTAGTTTTCATTGCTGGTGAGGGAGCACAACCTGCTTAAATGTTTGGCATTTCAGTAGCTAGATTTTTTATGTGACCATGCACTTGCTTGTTTCTAGTAATCATTTTCTTTGTTACACATATCTTGATGCTTGCAGTTGCATAACACACTGTTGATGACCACTGCATGCTGCTGATTTTTATACCAGCTCCAGAATACAGAGAGAACCAGAACCGTGCTGTCCTTCCTGCACCATAGACATGAGGGGACACATCCACTGTAAAGTCCACAGATGGACACCAACCGTTACACCTGCTGTTCCCAGTTGGGTACTATAGTAAACCCTACTTCCTTGTTACCATCACGCTTAGTGAATCTGAAGAGGTAGTATATGAAGGTGACACTGAGGTAAGGGATTGGTGCCTGTTGTTAGAAGGAAGAAGGAGCAGTTTATTGGTGAGAGATGCAGATACCTGTGTGGTGAGCTGGTACTGCAGCTGTTCCAGAGCAGACAGTCGGTCATGTTGCTCTCCTAGTTTTTCTGTGGAGGAGTCCCTTTCTGGTTCCACTGCTTCTGTTAGACACACAGAGTTCTGAGGGACTGCAGGTGCTTATGATTACTACTGTCCCTGCTCCTCCACCCTCCAGATGGTAACTAGTCATACTGGCATCAAGTTTCGGTACCTGACCCAAAGAGAAGGCAGACATCACTACGGCCGATATGTTCAAAACCTAGAAAACTCACAGCAAAACAATGTAGATGGATAAATAGTGTTGATTTTGGGGTGAACTGTCCCTTTTACATGCCCCCCAAGGAAGTGAGTTTTTAAGACCACAAATCTTTTGTTTTATTATCATTATATTTTGGGCTATTACTGCGGTTTTTAGAGAGTAGCAGCTGCAGAGTGACAAGAAAGTGGGAAGAGAGAGGGTGGTGACATGCACTACCTGCTCTTAAGCAGTGTGTGTGGTGAGTGTGTTTGTTATTGTACCCTTTAGTCCAGCAGTGGTGATCTGTGCACGGAGGCGGTTGCCCATCTCTATCAGCTGCTGTTTCTCTCTGCTCAGCCGGGCGATGCAGGACGCTGCCTGCTTCAGCCTGGTGTGCAGGAGACGAGGGTTGCTTTTAGCACCCTGGACATCTTCAAACAGACCAACTGACATCTGACCTGAGGCCTGCTGCTGCTGCAAATACAGGTTCTCCTCTCGGAGCTGTGCATTCTGGAAGGAATATAAGATTAGAGCTGAAGGAAGGGGGTTGCTGCAGCAGCTTACACAATATCTTCCCAACATCTCACACATCTGACCCAACTAGTAAAACTACCATTTTTGCTGTGGCAATGTTACACAGCACTGAGATACAATAAAGGTCATTAATTATCTTGCCCACTTTAGACATTTATGTGTCGATGGTGGAAAACTGGCTCAGTCATGGGGCAGCACTAAAGACATCAGTAGCTTTACCTGGTCCAGGTAACTGGTTTACTGATTACCTTCAGTACCTGTTCTATGACGTGTGCCACTCTGGCCTCCAGCCTCATCAAAGCAGAGGTGTTAGCACGATTCTCCAAACAAAGACCACCTGAGGATCCATACCACATAGAGGGAAAAAAAACAAATTAGGACAAAGTTTCCATTTTTAAATACAACTAATTAAAATAACATTTCAACAGAGATACAGATTTCAGTTCATAGGTGGAAATAAATGATGCATCACCTTGCCCCTGGTACTGTAGGTGTGTGTTGTGTGGAACTGTGGGTACCGGGTCCTCTGTGACTGGAGCCAGGCTGGGGAGTCCTACAGCCCCTTCTAGCTTCTCCTCGAGGTGCCTGCATCGAGCCTTTAGTTGGGACACCTCCTGCTCCAGAGCCTGAGTGTAGTCTGGGCCACCAAGATATTTCTGTAGTGCTAGGCCGGTCTTAAGTTTGCTCTTAGATTATTCTAATACAAGTTACACAGTTCTACAAGAATAAAGACTGACTTATTTTAATGAAAATCATCTACCATATTTGTGTAAAAGAGTGCTGTCCACACCTGCTGGGCTGATGGTGGAGGAAATGTCAGCGGTTTGGGCCGGTGGTCCAGTCTGAGTGTCAGCTGTAGGCGTAAAGAAGGTGGTGGGAGGGCCTCCTTGATGCCGAACTGGCTGAGGAGAGGAGGCCTGTGGCTGGGGTAGGAGACGGCTGAGGCCCTCCATGTCCTTCCTCATCTGGGTAACCACAGCCCGCAGGGTGCTGTTCTGCTCCTGCAGGCGACGGATCTCTTCTGATGCCAGAGAATCGACCTCTGGTGTGAGACCCTGTGGATAGATAGTAGTGTACTGTATGCATCTTCTTTTTGTAATATATCACTTAAGCTTTACTGCAAGCACGGCATTCATTGGAGGATAATTTGTGGCTCTTTGTTTTGCCCCAAATGGTTGGTAAAGTTACTTTACCAAGAACTCCCCACTCAGCACAACACAAGACAAAAGAGCCTACTGTATTTTCCACACAATTTTACCTTTCTGTTCTCTGCAGTTTTCTCCTGATTTTTTTCCTGACTTGTGGCTCCAGTGTGATATAACTGAAGCGGTTAGCAGCAGTAGAAAGTAACTAACATTTATTCAAGAACTATTCTTCAGTAACATTTTGAGACATATATATGTCAGTGCTGTAGTGCTCCAGGACAGTTTTTTCTATTGTCTCAGACTTGCCTTGGACTCGTTGGTATTTGCACTTGTCTTTGACCAAAAACCAATGATGGAGCATGCTTGAGAAACGGGTTTAATTCAAAATCCACTGACATTAGCTGTCTGGTAACCAAGGTTACCATGGACAATCCATGTCATTTGCAATCATATGCCTGACTGCTAGAACTATTCTCATTGGCAAAGGCAAAAGCATAAATTTTTTCTGTCTCTGTCTTGACTCGGTCCAGGCTATGGCTTGTCTTGGACTCAATATTGACTACAGCACTGACATGGTATTTTAAGTTATTTTTTTGGCCTTTTGTTGGCTTTAATGATAGAGACAGCTGTAGATAGACAGGAAAGGTGGGTGGAGAGAGAGGGGATGACACACAGCAAAGGGCCGCAGGTCGGATTCGAACCCAGGCCGCTGCAGCAACTCCATA